CTTGAACTAGGAAAAGATTTGGGACCCAGCTTACAGGGATGTTAGAAACCCTCTCACTTTACACATGAGGAAATCGAGGCCCAGAAAGGAAAAGTGACTTGTTCAGGGTCCCATAGCTGGTAAGAGTTGAAGCTAGCATTCAAAGTCTAATCTCCTCTTTCTTTCCACTACATTTTCCCCAGAAGTGAGCTGGAGGCATGAGACAGCAGTAGAACGGTCTGTGAGTGACAGAATGAACGTGGACATTTAGATCTGAACTTAGTGGGGATGGCCCGGAGACTACCTAGTCTCAGTGTGGGTGGGGTCATAAGTGCTGTCCACGAACCACCCCCCTGTCATAGCAAAAGCAGCCTAAGCTCTAGTTCGGGGTCGCCCAGAGGGGGAGATTGGAAGATGCTGACCCCTCCCTGACACGTGCTCCGCCCCCCAGCCCTCCTCTCCAGTCCCTCCCGAGTCAAGCAGAGTGCTGTCCACGCTCCCTCATCCCACTCCGGACTCTAGATCTAATGGGGAGCGAGACCCTCCCAGCATTTGGATTACCCATAAGCTAAGCGTTCGGCAGGGAAGGGGGAGGGGAGACGGTAGGCAAAGACACCCGTGGGTGTATGTAGAAGGGGAAGAAGACATGCAGATAACACCGTCGCTCAACCGCCCGCCCTGGCCCTACCCTGCCGACCACTCACCCCGCCCGCTGTCGCCCATCCCGTCCCGTCCCGCTCCCCCCGGCTCCGGCTCCGGGGCTTGTTGTTCTCCGGCCGCCACCTCCACCCGCCGCCGCCACCACCGGGTCCCGGCCCCACAATGCTTCGCGCCACGCTCCCCCACAGGCCCACACTGCCCCGCGGCATGGGGGCCAGAGAAGGATCTATGGGGGAGGGCAAAGCTTCCAACGGCATGGCCCCCCAGAAGGAGGGGTGGAAGGACTTGGGGGACGATACCTACAGAACTCTGGGGTCGGGAGAGAAGGACAGGATACTGCCAGGGTCTTGGAATGGGGCGCCAGATCTGGCGGAACAAGGTACTTCACTTTGCCCTATACCAAAATGGCAGCACCGTGGCGACAGCCATCTAGGTAAGGACAGGAAGCCGCTGGGTTAGCTTCCGCCCTTCACCAAGGTGGAGGAGACCGTTCCGTTCTTTCCGGCTGGCCCACAGCCTTCCTACACGCATGCGTATCAAGGGACAAGTTTCCCCTCGCTGCAGCTGTGAGAGCCGCTGTCCGGGTAAAGGAAAGGGGCGGAGAAAGGGTGGAACTTCCTCTTCTCGCGGGAGCGGGGAACGCGGGAGTGCCACGTCCGTCCGTGTGAACCGGGGAGAGAGAGGACCCCAGAGCCGGTGAGACCCCAGCCTCCGTTTGCATTCACAGTCTCCTTATCTTCTCCGGGTACCGTAGAGACGGTGGCCCAGAGGGAACATTAAACCGGAATTCCTGAAGACTAGCGAGACTTTCCCCGAGGACCGGAGAGCCTGGGGAGGGGGCGGGGGTGGAGGAGTCTGGAAGACTATAGACCACTACAGAAAAGCAACCACACTGGGGAATAGACCCCCTGGATGGACCCAGAAGGGTCACTCTCTCTTTTCTTTCTAGATATTCGCGATGGCCCACGGAGCCCCAGGGGCCAGATGCTGGGCAGCTGTGGGGTTGGTGACTTGGGTTGCCTTAGAGCTGCTGGTGTCTGGACTTGGGGGCCACGCAGACCTGCATGAAGATGTGCATGAAGATTTCCACCATTCTAGCCATGGGCATGCACACAAGGATTTCCACCGTCATGACCATGGGCACTCACATAAGGATTTCCACCATCATGGCCATGGGCACGCTCATGAAGACTTCCAGCATCATGGCCATGGACATTTGCATGATGACTTCCATCATGGTCACAGCCATGCACCAGGACACCATGGCCACACACATGAAAACTTTTATTATGAGTCTGACCCCTTGCACAGTAGACATTCACATGAAGGAAATGGACACAAAGGTCACACTCATGACCATGGACACAGCCATGCTCATGAATATGGACAAAGCCCTAAAGGCATTGAGGATTCTGAGGTTCTAGGCAGTGGGCAAGACTTGGACACAGTCAGTCTTTGGGCATATGTGAGTTTCCAGAGAATAGTGGGTATAGTGGAAGGGGTTGTGGGGTATGGGATCTTACCCTTATGTAGTAATTAATTCACACTCATGACTTATTTCCTTAACCCCAAATTTATACTTACTAGGCTCTGGGGGCAACAGTGCTGATCTCAGCCGCACCATTTTTCATTCTGTTCCTTGTGCCTGTGGAATCCAATTCCCCCCAGCACCGCTCTCTCCTGCAAATCCTGCTCAGCTTTGCCTCAGGGGGCCTTCTGGGAGATGCCTTCTTGCATCTCATACCTCATGCACTGGGTGAGTGATCTCTGACCTCTAGCCTTCATTTCTTTTCAATTTTACTCTGCCTAACACTTTGAGTCTCTTTATTAGCTGTGATATTTATATCATGTGCTTGATATTTCTGACCTTCTTTCCTCAGAACCTCATTCTCATCATGGGGATGTGGAATCTCAACTTGAGGAAAGGCCAGGACATGGACACTCCCATAGCCGTGAGGAGGGAATGGGGGGAGGAATGGGGCAAAGTCTGGGTTTGAGGTAGGGGGGAGGGTATTTGACCATCTCCCCCACTTTCTACAACTTTATGCCAGAGGATTTGGAGGGGAATCAGTGTACTATTTTTCTATCTTAGTATCCTCCTTCTGTCTCCTTGCCCTCAGACCAGGGCCCCATTCTTTCTGTTGGGCTCTGGGTTCTCGGTGGAATTGTTGCCTTTCTTGTGGTGGAGAAATTTGTGACACACGTGAAGGGGGGACACGGACACGGACATGGACACGGGCATGGCCAACGTGGTAAGATAGAAATACCTCCTTCCCCTGCAATGTAGTCTCTTGTCTTGGGATCTCAGGGAGTTGGTGGATATCTAGGAATCTTCCTGACATAGGGTTGAGCCTGTCTCTAAATGAAATGAGGAGATTTCTTCTTCATTCTGATCATTGTTTTCTTTCCTCAGAATCCTCAAAGGAAAAACAGAGCTCAGATGAGGAAGAGAAAGAGAAAGAGATTGGAGGGGCAAGGAGGAGAAGAGGAGCAGGCAGAGAACCCAGTGATGGTGCAGTGAAACAACTTAAATCTGAAGAGGAGAAAGGGGGCTCAGGTGAGGGACCAGCAATGGTGCTTGAAACATTCTGAAAGAAGTTTGGAGACAGCTTTGGGGGGGGCGGTATTTTCACAAGCCACTGTTTACTGTTAGTTTGGTCACTGTGCTTAGATATTGTTTATCTAAAGGTCATTTCAGGGTGAACATGGTAGCTATAGAAGTGGCTGAGAGAATTTGGAGTATCTTACTCAGTTCACCTTCCCCGTTTCTCCTATACAGACTTGCGTGTGTCTGGGTACCTGAACCTAGCTGCCGACTTAGCTCACAACTTCACCGATGGTCTAGCAATTGGGGCCTCTTTCCGAGGGGGCCGTGGACTAGGGATCTTGACCACATTGACTGTCTTGCTACATGAGGTGCCCCATGAAGTTGGAGATTTTGCCATCCTTGTGCAGTCTGGCTGCAGCAAGAGACAGGTCAGTAATTGGGGGAATTAGGAATATTCCACAGTCATCTATTCCTCCCGGGTGCCCCTGGAGGAATTCCTTCATTCTGTCATTCTTCATTCCTTGCCACTGTCTCTGACCCCTTCCCCCCACATCACCTCCCTAAAATCCTGAGAAATTAGCTTCCCTGTATTCTTTGTTTCTCTCTGTTGTTTCAAGCAGGAGTCTCTGTACTTTCTTTCTCTGGCATACAAATTGTTTCTGCCTTTTGGCTTCTTTAGACTCTAGACTGTGAAAAACAAACTAAAACATTCCAAGTTCCTCTTCTTGCCTTTATATTACAAGTCTTCTCACCAGGGATGATTTTGAAGGTTCTCTTTTTCTTTCCCTACCCTCACTTCAGGCGATGCGTCTTCAACTGCTGACAGCACTGGGGGCCTTAGCGGGCACAACCTGTGCACTCTTGGCTGAAGGAGGGTCCCAGGGAAACAGTGCTGCTGGTAGTAATGGTCCAGGTTGGATCCTCCCATTTACAGCTGGTGGCTTCATCTATGTGGCAACTGTGTCTGTATTGCCTGAGCTACTGAGGGAGGCTTCTCCCCTGCAGTCCTTGCTGGAGGTTCTGGGGCTGTTGGGTGGAGTTGCTATGATGGTGCTGATTGCCTACCTCGAATGAGAGGTGGGAGACCCCTCCCCCTAAGTCTTGGAGGGCAGGGTGACTTGGATGGGGTGCACAAGCCAAAGGGAGGAGAAGCCAAGTACCAGAAAGGTAACCGTCTAGAGGGGCAATGAACTTGGGTTGGCCCTGTACACCTGGAGATCTCAGGGAGTAGACCTGAGAATGAGACTCTAGAACGGCCGCAGTATTGAGAATTGACTGACAGTGGAGTTGGGTTTTAGGTGGCATGGCTAAATGTGGTCATGGTAGAAGGGCCAGCCCCAAGAAGAAAGGAAGAGGGAGCCACAGAATAGGGATGCCTGTCACCTGTGTCCCCCAAACCTGTTCTCTAGGGACCAAGCAGCTCCTCCCATCTTTCCTCTCGAGGAGGGTGTGCCTTCCTCAAAGGCCTGAGCCCTGGACCGAGGGGGTGGAGGGGAGGAGTCAGGATCTAGGTCAATCGTGTGCGGTGATTGGGAGGTGGGGGGGGCTTGTTATTGATCTTATACCTGTTTAGTTTTTTGCTTTTTTTATATCGATGTGGGGGGGGGCAGGGGTTGGGGAAGGGTGGTGACCGGAAATAAAGGCGCCGGCTCTTTCACCCCATCTGGTCTCTTGTCTTAATTTCGGGGAAGGGGGGGGCGCGCGTGTTCTCCAACCTCTCGTCCTGGGAGAAGTGTCGCTTCTTCCCTGGGGCTTGTACTCCCAGAGAGCTAATGCGCATCCATTCTCTTCCGATTGGCTCCAAGTTCTCAGCCCCGCCCTTTCTGTTCCCATTGGTTTGGGGCCGAAGTCCTCTTTATTATGGCGGCCAAGCTTCGGTTGCGTTCCGCGCTCGCTCTGGTCACAGGTTAGGGAATCCTACCACACTTCTCGCTGCCTGCCTTCCCCACTAAAAAGGAGGTCCTTATTCGGGCACGGTGACGTCACTCGAGGGTCGCGCAAAATTCAGCTTCCCGGGGAGGTGTTCTGTTACCCATGTTCCCTTGCCCTCCTTTGCTCAGGCTCCGAGGTTGAAGTGCCCAGTGTCGGGTCCTGGAGCGTTCCCGGTTCTGCCCTCTTCCCCCGACTCCTGCGTACACCCTCTGCCTTGGCCCGCATCCCAAGAACGGCGTTTGTACTCCTTCCTCCACCCATCTCCTAGGTGCAGGCGGTGGCATCGGCCGGGCAGTCAGCCTGCGCCTGGCCAGGGAAGGGGCCCTCGTGGCTGCAAGTGACCGGGATGGGGCAGCGGCCGAGGAGACTATACGGCTTCTGGAGGGGTCGGGGAGCGAAGCTGGGGCCGGCCCAGGGGGTCACGCTGCTTTCCAAGCTGATGTAACCCAGGCCAGGGCAGTGCAGGGGCTGATAGAGCAAATCCAGGTGAGAGTGAGTCTGCACAGTCCACGCGTGGGAAAGGAAGAAGCTATTGCATGTCTCTTTCTCCCAGTCTGTTTTTGTGCTTCTCTGCCAGTAACCTCGTGCCATTCCTGCCTCTCCCAGGCCTGCTTCTCCCGCCCACCATCAGTGGTGGTCTCTTGTGCCGGGATCACCCGGGATGAGTTTTTGCTCGGAATGTCTGAGGATTACTGGGATGAAGTCATTGCTGTCAACCTCAAGGTCTTGACCATTGAACCTTTCATATCCTGTGGTCATCCTGACCCTGACCCGTTTACCTGCCTAGAAGGGAATGGGAGGGGGTTCCCAAAGTAGGAGAAGTGCTTGACCACCCAGCACCTTTGCCATCCTTTCCCTTCATTTTCAGGGCACCTTTTTGGTCACTCAGGCTGCAGCTAGAGCTCTGGTATCCAGTGGCTGTGGTGGCTCCATCATCAACATCAGCAGCATTGTAGGAAAGGTCAGCCTGGGAAAAGGCAAAAGGGAGGAAAGGGAGGCTTCCCTCGTGATCTCTAACCATGACTCATCCACAGGTGGGGAACCTGGGGCAGACAAACTATGTAGCATCCAAAGCTGGAGTGGAAGGAATGACCCGAAGTGTGGCCCGAGAACTTGGAAGGTCAGCCTGGGAGATGAGAGGGATCATTAAGCTGGTTACTTTGTACAGCAGCAAACTAATCAGTCTCCTGGATATGCTTGATCCCTGATCAGCTAAAATAGTAGCTAGATTGATATCCAGCCTGGCAATCACTAGGGTCAGAATGGGGAACTGGCAATTATCAGGGGTTAGTGATAATTCTTCCTCCTCACAGACATGGAATCCGATGTAACTCCATCCTTCCAGGATTCATCATAACACCCATGACAAAGAAAGTACCACAGAAAGTATTGGAGCAGGTAGGGGTCTCCTAAACCCTCCCTCGATACCCATCAAACCCTATCATGGAGAAAATTCTGGACAAGAAGCCCAGGCCAAAGAAACCACTTCTCCATAAAAATCTCCCTTCCTGTTGTTTCTACTTTCAGATAATGCCACAAATCCCGATGGGCCATCTAGGGGTTCCTGAGGGTGAGAAACAAGAGTAAAGAAAAGGGAAACACTGAGTGGAAGGGGGAGATAGAAATTGGGGTTTAGGCAAGTAAAGATTGAAAGATGCTGTTGCACACAAGGCCTAGGGTGTTTGTGAGGTGATGTCCTTAGGGTTGGGAGTTATGTTATTATATGCTCCTTGCCTTGGTTTTTTTTTTTGGGGGGGGAATCATTCCTGAGATCCAAGGGGCAACAGTGGTAAGACTTCTGAACCCTTTCCCCAGATGTGGCAGATGTAGTGGCATTCCTGGCATCAGATGACAGTGGATACATCACAGGGACCACTCTGGAGGTCACTGGTATGATTAAAAGAGAATTGGAAACAGGACCCAATAAGGGAGGAGTTAATGGAAACCTCTGAAACAAATCTTGAGGGATTAGGGAAGTCTTGAAGAACTGGGAATGATGTGGGAGGTTAGAGAAATCCCTATTCCAAACTCCTCTTTTTCTGTCTCCCTCTGTTTCTGTTTCTCTGTGTTTCTGATCCTCCCAGGAGGTCTCTTCATGTAACTCCCACAGGGTCCCAGGACACTGAACTCATCTCTTCCCCCAAGCAGCACCATGGCCAGGCAAAGGAAGATTCAGATAGAGGTTGGGGGACCAGCGACTGTATATTGGGAAGACAAATTATGTGAAAAGGGTGTCTGTGACCCTAATAAATTCTAAATCTTCCTACCACCTCTGGCTCGCCCTTGTGTCCAAGCCTTCAGACTCCTCCCCATTTCCTCCTCCCCTTCTTCTCCTGGTGGGATTGTTCCCATTCACTGGCTCGTTTCCCAGGGCAACCCCCGCCGCCGGGTGTGAGAGGGAGAGAGTGTGGGATACAGGGCCGGCAGAAGGAGGGGGTCTTGGCCCCACCCCTGTAGACAGTGCCCAGCATCCCCAAAATCCCCCTAACTTTTCCCATCCCTGTGTCTCGCAAAGGGGAGGGGGAGAGGGCATCCTCGCGGCCATACTCCTGACTCTGGCATTGGTAAGGGGGGCACAACGTGGAACAGGTGCCTCAACCTTCATCCTTTTTCTCTCAGTCCCCTTTCTATTCCCACCCACCCCCCTTCTCGGTGCTTCACAATAGTGCAGCCGGCCTGGGGTCGGAGTGGGGGGTGGGGGATTAGGGGAGGTGGCCAGGATTAGAGGAGGGGGCCAGCCACTGAAAGGGGCCGGAGGGGATGAAAGAGGGGCCAGGGGAGAAAAGAAAGGAGGGGTAATGGGGAGGGAAGAGGACGGGGCCGGGGGCGAATCGCCTCTGGAGCCCACTTAAGGACTGGCCACGGACGGAAGGAGAAGACAGGGAAGTGGGGGGCTCGGAAGGGAGGGAGGACCGGGAGGGGAAAAGGGTGGTCTACCGGGGCAGGGTGGGGGAAGAAGAAACAACTCCCCCACGTCCGCAAAGATTCCCTGCTCGGTCCCCAGCCATCTTCCCTACTCGGCCTCAGCTTGGTCTCTGGTCCATGTGTACCTGCTCGGGCGAGGGTCCAGGCTCCTCTCCATCTCCTGTGTAGTTCCTGTTCCCACTACTTCTGAGAGCTGGGATCCCCTCCTTGTCCTTAGCTCCCCATCATCTCCCTCCCTTTCCCGTCCCCAGACAGGTCCAGGTCTCCATCTGCTCCCCTCTTTATCCCCAGTCGTTCCATTCCCCGCGGGCCGGCCCTCTTACCCCAATCACAGCTCTCTCCGGCCCTCCACAGGTGGGGCTCTTTATCCCCTGGGTAACCATCCTCCTCCTCGGGCCCCGGCTCCTGATTGTCCAAACGCAATTCTCGTGGCTCCGGCCCTCGAGAGTTGGGTCTGGACATCCCGAGCCGCGGCCCCTACGCCTCGCAGAGGAGGGCGGACGAGGGGACTTCGGGACGCCTGACACAGAAGAGAGGAGTCCCTAAGGCGGAACGAGTGGGGTGGGAGGGAGGACTCCGTGGCGTGCCCTAGGGACCGGGGGCGCCTGAACTCTGGGTGCAGGGACTGGAGGCGATGGGGGTGGGATGCCGGGAGCGACAGGAGGGCTGGGGGCTTGGGGCGGGCGGCCCTTCTAATTCTCGTCCCCTGTGTAAGACAGCCCGAGGCCACTTTGCTTTCTTCCCACGGGAGGCAAGTGATGTCCCATCTCCAGCCCACTCCGAGAGGAAGAGGCCTCACGGGGAGGAGCGTGTCCCTATCCCCGATGCATTTAAGTGTAGGAAACCGGTGGAGGCGCGTCCTGTCCTGTCTTGTCTCCATCCCGCGTGGAAGGAGCCCCACGTGGAGCAAGAGACCACCACGCTAGCCCGTCCCCTCACGTGGAGAGGGTGTGTCACGTGTACAAAAGGGGGGCACCCCCTTCGTTCCACGTTCCACCCGCGTTCCGAGCAGTCCGGTGACGTAACCATCGTTCTGAGTCAGACAGGGGAGGGAATGGGGAGGCGGAAGTGACGCAAGGGCCCGAGCGCCCCAACCATGGCGGCGGCGGGAGCGGTGGCGGTGGCTCCGGGACCAGGGTCCTGAGTGGGAGGGACCGGGGACTGAGTGAGCTTGGCCCGAGAGGTACACGACGCTGGGGCACAGGGATGGAGTAGGGCGCTGGCGGCAGGGCGAGCCCGAGAAGAGGGACTGGGGCTGGGGGGCGGGGTGAGGGAAAGGAGGAGGGGAGGGGGAGGGGAAGGAAACGTAAGGGGGCGGGGCCTCGGGGACTGGGACGCGTGCAGAAGGGGCGGGGTGAGGCGGGACTGACTCTCACTCCCCTCCCCCCACTCCCATCCCCACCCCCAGGATTCCTTCGGCTGCTCCTTAGTGGCTCTGTCTGCCCCCTGATCTCGGGGGGTGGTGGTCTACTCCTTGTTACCATGGCGACCCCAGCGAATGCACAGAGCGCCAGCAAAACGTGGGAACTAAGTCTGTATGAGCTGCATCGGACCCCTCAGGTGAGGAGGGGGGGACCCCCACCCACGGACAGCTATGAATGTATACTATCTCCTGTGAATCCCCCATTTTGTCTGTACCCGAATTCCCACCCTCCTAGGAGACCCAAAGGTTGCATCTTTCCTGTGCTTCTCAACTCTGATCTTACTGCCCTTCTCACCCCTCCCTGCGTGTCATTCTCTCCCCTTCTGCAGGAGGCCATCATGGATGGCACAGAGATTGCTGTTTCCCCACGATCCCTACATTCAGAGCTCATGTGCCCAATCTGTCTGGACATGCTGAAGAATACCATGACCACAAAGGAGTGTCTCCATCGCTTCTGCTCCGACTGCATTGTCACTGCACTGCGTAGCGGGTATCAGGAGACACATGTGCTACGTTGGGGAATATGGGGGAGAGATTCTATGCCTTTGCCCTTTGTGGAGATCTTATATCCCCATAGATGAACTCCTAGATCCTAAATGATACCTTTTTAGTGAGAGAAACTAAAACTCCCAGTTACCAGTTAATATTTTAAGTGGTTTCTTTCCTCTAACTCAACTCAGGAACAAAGAGTGCCCCACTTGTAGGAAGAAGCTGGTGTCAAAGCGGTCTCTTCGGCCTGATCCAAACTTTGATGCACTGATCTCCAAAATTTACCCAAGTCGAGAAGAGTATGAGGCACATCAGGATCGAGTCCTCATCCGCTTAAGCCGTCTGCACAACCAGCAAGCATTGAGCTCCAGCATTGAGGAGGGGCTCCGAATGCAGGCAATGCACAGGTATGAGGGTGGTCATACTGAAGTGCTAGACACTGAATTCTGGAAGGTTTCTGGACGTGTAATAGGCAAAAATTCATGATTCTCACTTTCTGATTCTCTGACCTCCTAACATCTGACCTCCTGCTCTATAACCTTGCTACATACTGATTTCCTAACTGGTATTCTTTGCCTCTACAGGGCCCAACGTGTAAGGAGGCCAATGCCAGAGTCAGACCAGACAACAACAATGAGTGGTGGGGAGGGAGAGCCTGGTGAGGGAGAGGGAGATGGGGATGGGGAAGATGTTAGCTCAGACTCCGCCCCAGACTCCACTCCTGGACCTGCCCCAAAACGACATCGAACAGGAGTTGTGGGAAGTAGCAGTGGAGGGACAGGGGGCGTGGCTGCTGGAGGTATAGGAGGGGGAGCAGGCTCTGAGGATTCTGGGGACCGGGGTGCCCCCCTGGGTGGGGGAACCCTGGGTCCACCAAGCCCACCTGGGGCCCCCAGTCCTCCTGAGCCAGGAGGAGAGATCGAGCTTGTGTTCCGGCCCCATCCTCTGCTGGTCGAAAAAGGAGAATACAGTCAGACTAGGTGAGAAGATCCCTATCCCTCCAGCGACTGTCTAAAAACTGGGAAATCAGGGACCAAGTCGGGTACCTCAAAGTCACAGGGCTTCCTTCCCATAACCTGAGACAATGTTTCTATCCAGCATTTTGACTCCCCCAAACTCAGAAACATACCTAATGCAAAATCATGGTCACCTCCAAACTCTATAAACACAAAAAGACACTCCTGGAAAATCTCATGAGTGGGGTTCAATATATCATGTTTACGACTTCAGCCCTTTGCTTTTTTCACTGATCATTTGCTACAATTCCTCAGATATGTGAAGACAACAGGAAATGCCACAGTTGACCACCTTTCCAAGTACTTGGCTCTAAGGATTGCACTTGAGCGGAGACAGCAGCAAGAGGCTGGGGAGCCTGGGGCACCAGGTGGAGGAGTCCCAGAAGCTGGAGGACCTGAGGGAGGTGGGGGGGAGGCACCAGGAACTGGAGGAACCGATGGGCCAGAGGAGCCAGCCTTGCCCAGCCTGGAGGGTGTCAGTGAGAAGCAGTATACCATCTACATCGCACCTGGGGGAGGAGCTTTCACGGTGAGAGGATGGAAGGGAATGATTGTCGGGGAGGTGTTGGGAAGGAGAGAAAAGTTTGAGATAAAATATGCTCCATTCATCCTGTCACTAATCAGTTTTTCTATATACTCTTCTCTCCCGTTTTTCTTCTTGTCCTTCCATTTATCTCCCATTACTTTCCTCTTCTATTTTTTATTTTCCTCCTGTCCCTAATGCTCTCTTCTCTTTCATACTTGGATATTTTTCTTCATATCTCTCTTCTGTTCCTTTTTTTTTCTTTCTTCCCTACTGATACCATTCTTTTCTCCCCTTTCCCTCCACTTTCTTTCTGGTTTATTCCATATACCCAGACCCTGAATGGCTCACTGACCCTGGAGTTGGTGAACGAGAAGTTCTGGAAGGTGTCCAGACCCCTGGAGCTGTGCTATGCCCCCACTAAGGACCCCAAGTGACCCAAGGGGATGGGGATTATAGGGCTTCTGTGTGTATGTCTTAGCTCCACCTCCAGGTCTGTGTTCCCCCCACCCCCCACCCCCCTTACCCTGCCCGGCGGGCCGGCGAGAGGACACTGATGAGGACAAGTGGCTTTTATACAAAGTGTCTATATCAGATTCTTCTATATTGTACAGAGTGGGGTGTGCGCCCCCAACTCCTTCCTTTTCTACTCACCAGTCACCTCCCTTCTGTAATGGGGATGTTGTGGAGGGAAGACCTCCCCTTCCCCCAACAACAACGCATTTGCTTTTTTTTCTTTCAAATCTGTGTCTGTCTGTGTGTTTAGGGGAGGAGGGAACAGGGCAAAGAAGGAAGGGGAAATAGCGGCCATGAAAAATTTTGACTGCTGCCTCTGTGGGGGGAAAAAAATAAGTCTTCTTTTGGGAGACGGGGTTGGGAAAGGTCGCTAATACAGTCTGAAAGCTGGCATGAGCTAAGTGGAAGAGATACAAATACCTCCCCAATAAACTAGAGCTGGCAAGCAGAGACAGCCGCAGCGCCGCTATTTCAGGTTTCTTGTCCTTGGTGGGAGCTCCAGCTCCATGGCGCTCCGCCTCCCACGCCGCCTAAGAGGGGCAGTAGTTAAGACTACGAGTCCCATGAGGCCTCGGGCTAGGGAATAGCTGGCCTTAGAACGCTGCTGTCCCGAGGGTCTGTGGGAGTTGTAGTTTTTGCGTCCCCAGACAGTTGGGGGGGCGTGGAAATCATCTGTTCCCCTTCCCTCCCACCAGGTGGGTAGAATGTGGGCTCCGGAGCCAGAACTGGGCTGCAGGGGCTTGGAAGAAGTGTCAGGGTTCGATCCCCATATTCGGAAAGTCCAGTGGGTGGGGAAGGGGGACGGCTCCGGGAGGGATTAAGGGCCCCCCGCCCCTTCTTCGGGCATTCTGCCCCTCACTTCCTGTTTCCGCTACTCCTCTCATCCCTCCCCCCCTCCCCAAATTCCTGTGGCTGAGCTCAGTCCGCTGTCTCGCTGGCAGACGAGTCGGTGGTGCAGGTAATTGGCCCGCCCGGCCCCCTCCCCAATACCCAGACCCTAGCCGTCAGTCTTCCCCAGCCCCCGGACCCCCACTAGGATCCTCAACAGCAGGGATCCTCCTACACCCTCTAGACCTATACCGAGGACCCTCCCACCCCCCTGGGATCCTCAATACCAGGGACCCTCCCACTGTCCCGGACCCTCCCACACCCCCGGGACTCTTTATACCAGGGACCCTCCCTCCGTCCCTGGACCATCAATAGTAAAGACCCTTCCCGAGACCCAGGATCCTCGATTTGGTGGACCTCCTACCCCCGACCCTCAATACCAGGGACTCTCCCACCCCTGAAACCCTCCCACAGCCCCTGGACCCTCAATACTAGAAACTTCCCCCCCAGCCCCAGAAACCAATACCAGAGACCTACCCCTACCCCTCCCACTCATCCTCACCTCTGAATACCTGAGACCCTGCCACTCCCAGACCCTTTTGATCCTTAATACCCAGGATCTTCTCACCGCCGCCGCCGACCCTCAATATCAGATATCCTCTTACAGTTCGAGGACACTCCCACGGCCCTTGGGGATCTTCAATATCAGGGACCTTTCTGTTGCCGGAGCCTCAACACAGGGGACTCATAGCTCCTTTACTGTAACCTTCCGGCAGTCTCTAGAGCCCCTCAATGCCAAAACCCTCTTAAGACCCCTGGGACCCTCAGTACTATAGATCTCCCCCTCAATTCCTGTGCCTTCCCCCAGCCTATGGGATTCTTAAATACCGAGACCATGCTACAACCCCCCACCCCGGATATCCAATATCAAGGAGCCTCCCCAGAACCAAAGACTCACTGTAGCCTCTGGGAATACCTCAATGCCACAAGCTCTCCCAGTTTTTCCCCCGATATCACCAATTCCCATAATTTCAGGAGCCCTGCAGTGCCGGGGAGGACCCTCCTACATGTGTCCTCTCTAACTTTGAGGGTCCTCTAATAACAATATATACTCCTCCAGCCCCCCAACATCAAACCCAGGCAGCCCCTTCTCAGTCCCCAGGCTTCCTAATAAGTCGTCCAAGTTCCTGTCTAACCCTGCAACCTGCCTCTGACTACCTCCCCAGGTATCCTGTTCCTTACTCCCCCAGCTTGCCGCCTTTTCCTCTGTCCCTGATCTGGGAGGTGTGGCATTTCTGTTATGCTAGGGAAAGGGAAGATGGGACTCCTCTGAGAACTGAGGCGTTGTTTGCTCAGTCTGAGCCTGGTGACCCAGAGCAGTCTGAACTTGCTAACTTCGTGGTGCCTGGAAGAAATCTCAAGAGGTGGGCGTGAGGGGAGGGGCAGGATGATGTGGAGAAAGAAGTGGAGAAAAGGTCTAGAAATGCATGAGGAGAGAAGTGGTGGAATTATCTCTTCTCTGTTTTGGTTCCAGAGCCAGTGACCCTTTCCCCCCTCCTCATCAAACCTAATTTCCCAGTAGCCCATCCTTTCTTCTTGGTCTTGCTCCCCTCTTACTCCACCCTGGCTCAGCCTACAATCCCCCTTTCCCCCTGCCCTTCCCCTTCCTCCCTATGTCCCTGTCCCTCCCCTTCTCCTCCAGTTCCTATGTCACCCACATCCTCCCATCCTCCTCTACTCTCTTCTTCTCACTTTTCTCCCCCTTCCCCCTCATTCTCTTCTACTCTTCACCTTGATCCCCCACCTCCTATGCCAGTGACTTTCACAGACATGGCTGTGTATTTTGGAGATGTCATGTGGGAGAGCTACCGGAACCTCATCTCGTTGGGTGAGTAACTCCCCCCACCACCAAAAAAAATAAGAAATACCACCCTGATTCTGACATTCATTCTATCAGGGGCACTGAATTAATTTAAATGTTAAGCTGGAAGGTAGTGTCTCTGAATGCCCTGCATAGAATGCCAGCATTTTACACCCCTCCTAGAGGTCCTTAGCCCTCTCCTCTCTATTCACCCTCAAGCATCCTGCTTCCCCATCTCCTGAGTCTTCCTGAAGCCAGCAATCAGATATTTATCAAGCACTTTTAATTTGCAAGTATTTGTGCTAGATGCAGAGGTTGCAAGAACACACCAAAAAGGTGCCTTATTGCCCATTTGGGGAGATGAGACCTACGGAAGCAGACAGTACAGTGAAATGTATGCTAAATCCCATCTGATAGACAGTAAGTGCGGGATTCCTGAGGAATAAAGCACAGCAATCTTGAGTGGTCAAGAAAGGCTTCATGGAGGAAGAAACTTGAGCTGAAGAGTGGAGAATGGTTAGGATTCAGCTAGAGGAAGGGCTGGGAGGGGGAGATATTTTAGACAGAATAACGAATCTTGTTCTTTCTTGCCTCAGGATTTCCGATTCCCAAACCAGAATTGATCACCCACCTGGAGCAAGGGGCTGAGCCATGGGGTCTGGGGTCTCAGGAGTCTGAAGAAAGGGGAGTCCCAAAAGATCCCTATGCAGGTGAATAACCAGCAGGGAAAAGATCCTTTTGCCTTCACCCTTCACATCCTCCTCATACCCTAGAGAGGGAATCATCAGGTCCAGGATTTAGAGCTTGAAAGGGCTTTGGAAATCTCCTAGTCTAACCTCATGTTACAGGGGAGGAAACTGAGGTCTAGAGAGGAGACTCTACTTGCCCAAAGCCAAAGGGCTAGAAAGTGGTAGGAGATGGAGTCTTGAGGTTCTCCAATGCCAAAATCATCGTTTTTCCCATAGTATCACACTGGCCCAAGGATGGAGCTCCACCTCACCGCTCCTCACGATCCTAAACCTGCTTCCCAGTAATTGGCAGGAATCACCAAAGTCCCTATCCTTGCTGTCAGTAGAGAGGGCCAACCTCTGCCCTTCATCCCTTCCTCCTTCTGCCTCCAAGGATACAAACTGCTCTGTGAAGTGTCCTGGTCCACTCCAAATCCCTTCAGGAATACTATCTATCAGAGAGGGGAGCAGAGCAGCTTCCATAGGGATTGAACCCACATCTTTCTCAAGTTCATCACAAGGTCCTCTTCTTCCTCTGTATTTCCTTCCTCATTTCCTTCATTTCATCACTGTCTCTTTCACAGGCATGAGGACCAAGGAAGAAGAGGAGGCAGAATCAGTCCCCAACCCACCCCCTGCCTTGGAGGGTTCCCCACCACCAGCTACACCCTGTGGCCCAGCCCTGCCCCCACCCCCAGCATCCCCACCCCCACCCCCAAAGCCCTTTTCCTGCCCTGAATGTGGTTCCTGCTTCTCACGACGCTCCCACCTCTCGCGCCATAGGCTGATCCACTCTGGCGAGCGCCCCTTTCCTTGCCCAGAATGTGGCAAGTGCTTTGCCCAGGGTGCCCACCTGGCCTTGCATCTGCGTTCCCACACAGGTGACCGACCCTATTCTTGTGGTCAGTGTGGTCGAAGCTTTCGCCACGGCTCCCACTTGGCCCGGCACCGACGTACACATCTACCTGAGCCCCCCTACCGATGTGGCCAGTGTGGCAAGGGTTTCTCCCAGAGTTCTGGACTCCTGCAGCATGCCACTGTCCACACAGGCGAGCGTCCATATATATGTGCTGTTTGTGGCAGAGGCTTTGGCCGCCACCCCAGCCTTATCCGACACCAGAAGTCCCATTCAGGTGAACGTCCTTTCCCCTGTCCCGAATGTGGCAAGCGTTTCACTCAGAGCGCAAATCTTGCCCGCCACCTTCGGACACACACTGGAGAGACACCATACCTCTGTGGGGAATGTGGACGTGGCTTTAGCCAGCATCCTCGCCTCGTGGCACACCGAAAAGCCCATCACACAGGACCCCCACCCCCACCTCCTCCTGTCCATTCCTGCGCTGATTGTGGTCTACTGTTCCCTCAGGCTCTGGCACTGGCCCGTCACCGGGCAGCCCAGCATGGTGGTGAGAAGCCATTCCGTTGCAGCCAGTGTGGGGAGGGTTTTGGCCACCGCTCCAACCTGCGGCGCCACCAGCGCGGTCATGGTGGGGAGCGACCGTACCGCTGTAGTCAGTGTGGCAAAGGCTTTGGTCAGAGTTCAGGCCTGGTCCAGCACCAGCGTGTTCACACTGGGGAGAAGCCCTTCCGCTGCCCAGACTGTGGGCGTGGATTCCGCTATAGCTCCAACCTGGCACAACATTACCGTGGCCACACTGGGGACCGGCCCTTCCGGTGTGAGCACTGCGGTCGTGGCTTTACCCGTAGTTCTCACCTGCTACGGCACCGGGCCACACATGGTGGGGAGGATGGAGATGAGGACTGTGGTCCTGGAGGGGTCCCTATGCTGACAATTAAGGCAACTTCCATAAGCCAGGAATCCCCCAAGGAATCTGGAGAAGCTGCCCAAGTGATTGAATCCCTAACTCAGCCAGAGTGACCTATTTATTCTCTCTGGTTGGAGCAACTGAGTCTGACTCCAACCCTATCTTTTGCCAGAGTGACTCCCAAAGCAACCACTTTGTTGTGGTCCAAATGATTACTCTCCCCTTGTCTTTCCTCAGAAAGGGGATGACCAGCTCACCCTGCTCATGCCAGGAGTGAGAGGCCCTAAGTTCCCCTCCTGGCCTGGAGGGGGTGGGGTTCCCTGTGCCTAAGGAAGAGTATTCCCCAAAGGAGAGTAAGCTCCCTGTTCATTTTGGGTAGAGAAAAGTTCTCCTCCCTCTTCATCTTTTTCTGTCTGAGGGGCTTGATGAGGCTGTCTCAGGGATAGCTGGGAATCACTGGTCTCTGCAGGAGACCTCAAGGGAGATAAACTGAATCCCTGTATCCCTGCCTGGGATACAGAGAAACCACATACAGATGTGTTAGTTTACCTCCGGAAGTTGCACTTGGTCCTTAACCACCATCCCTTTAATTCTCTGTCTGACCCCATGATGCCCTGGAGGCTACCTGGGGTCCTCTCTTCTCTGGGTACCAAAGAGCTATCCCCAACTTCCTCTGACAATGTGATCTCGTTTCTCCCTAGGGGTCACTAAACACTGACTACAGGACTCCCTAAGGGTCCCAGATCTCCCTAAAACTCCTTGTCACACTTGAAGCCAAGAATATAGGCAAACCAGGCTATCCCCTTCCAGTTACTTATATTCCCTTGCATTACTAACATTCTATGGAAAACCTGTGATTTCTGTGCTGTAGGTGCTCTCTCCAATGATATAGCTCAGAAATTGCCCATGCCTATGGCAATTCTTATTACCGTAGCCAAAAAAAAAAAAAGCATCACCTAGTGGCCAACCTTTAGAGGCTGAACTCCTCCAAACTTAATTAGGTTGCTTCTAGTGCAACAGACTCAATGGGTTGTTGTGGGCTGTGCTTTTGAAAGCCTTTTCAATTTGGTAAGTTTAAACAGATCACTCTTGTAACAAAACCTTCAAGAACCCAGTCTTACCTCCACACCAAAATAAGGCATCAGAATAAGACTATGGTAGATGTTTCCTTGGATTAAAGCCTAAGAATATGGGGAGACGTAACTAGGGAAATCAGGAGCATGATAGGAGTGCAATAGTAGGGTCAGGTTGAAAGAAACTAAAAGAAGTTTGAAGGGAAGCAAGGGAATTTAAAGAGAGATTATGAGAGACATAAGGGGATGAGGTGGGAGGAAAGGATGTCACTTGTTACAAAGTAATAATTTCACCACACTTATTGTGCTTTATAGTAAAAAAAAAAGTTTTCATCATTTTATTTGATCCCCACAACCCTGTGAGGTAGATAGGGTAGAGAGTCTGATTCTCATTTTTTAGAGATAGGGGAAACCAAGGGCCTGAGAGAGGAAGGGGCATCCTCACATATCCAACCAAGTCTGATTGAGTCCAACGGATGACTTTGTCATACCACCGTTAAGGCACTAGTTTACTGGTCCTTGCCATCAGAGAGCTTATAGTCTATTTGAGGAAACAGGACACATCTAGAAAAAATTATAAGGCGATATATCTATGAGAACAAAACAGTATGTAGTGAGACCACCTATTTACATTCATGAGATACGTATTTCCTCACAACCTACACTTTCACCCTAGGTTGCTAAGGTGCTAAATTCCTACCACAAGCACTACATTTCCTTTCCTTTGCAAGTAAGAGACCCTGTATGAAAAGCAGCCCATGGTTCCCATCAAAGGTTCCAGTGAAGGCTATGAAGCTCTGATACAGACAGGTCACAGTCTAGTGCCAAAGCTGAAACCAAAGGAGGGAACTATTACCATCAGTCCTTGCTTAAGGCAATATGGGTTGACTAGGATGAGAAAGGTCCATTCTTGCAATATCCTTCTTTCTTATTGTTAATATTAAAGTATAAATAGTTATTTTAGTTAATTTATTAATTTTTCTCAATGTAACTTTTGGGCTGTTACAGTAAACACTCAATAAATGTTTGGATTGAAATCTCTCCTAGAACGTGTCAAAGGGATTTGCCTTTCTTTGTATTTCCAACATCATGGCAGGGCCTTGGCATATAGGAAATGCTTGTTGATTGACTATTTTGACAAATGCAAGAAAAAGAACCATGGGATGGTTAATATTTGACCTTAGAGATCATTGCACCCAAACTTCTTGCTTTGCAAATGAGGAAACAGAGGCCCAGAGAGAGGGAAGAGGTTATATTGCAAGACAGCATCATGCTATAATATGAACTGCATAAAAATGCTGAAGAGACATAGTAATAGAGATCTGAATCAAGGAAATACTTCCCAAAGGAGGTAAGAGTGAAAAGAGGGAAGGACATAGGTCTGTTGAAAGGAGGGAGAGAATCATATGCTAATGAATGGACTGACGACGACTATGGTGAATAGTAAAGAATATACGGGAGGATGGAAAGAAGGGAATGACTCATGGGGGGGAAGGGGCTGACTTGACAACCAGTGAGAATGAATGAAGTATAGGAAACACAAGTGACTGGTGGGTGGAGGACTGTAAGTGCCAAACTGAGAATTATGGATTGATTTTGTTGGGTGATAAAGAGTCACTGCAGATCCTTGAGTAGAGGGCTGGCATGATGGAAATGGTTTATCCGAAAGATAGTTTTGTCAGTAGCTAGGAAGAGCTGGAACAGGAAGAATTAGATCAGAAAAAGTAGTTTAAAGATTTGGTGCCAATCCCACTTCAAATTGCTGAAAGGAAAATAAGACTCTGGGAAGAAGCCAGCATGAGAGGAGCTGACAGTCTCCATCATGTCCATATCCCCAGCTTGCTGTACTAGAGACTTTGAGGAACTTCACCTTGAATGAAATCTAGGACTGAATTTTGGTTGAACTGAATTACCTCACTTGCAATGGCAGAGCTCCACTCTATGTAGTCCAATATATATTTTCCCATGTATACTATCTCTGATTTCTGTTTTGCTATTGACTTGGATTTCTTTGGTACCTTCAAAAAGACAAAACAAACAAACAAAAAAGCTCTATGGATAATCGAGGTGTTAGATGGAAAAGACCTGTACATGTACTAAGTGCTTATTATGTGCCAAGGCATTGTGCTAGATGCTGGGAATAAAAATACATAACATAGTTCCTGCCCTCAAGGAGCTTACATTCTACTAGGGAAGATACTGGTTCACAGATAAGTAAAATACTAGATCTATACAAAATAAATTCAGTAATTTTGTGAGGCATTAAAAAACTGGCAGGAATCATGAAAAGCCTTTTGAAGGACAGCTGAGCAGATCCTGCAGGGAGATAGGGGTTCCAAGAGGTGGGAGTGAGGCAGGAGAGTCTGCCAGTCCTGGGGGAAAACCTATACCAAAGCATGGAGGCAGGAGACACAATGTTGCACACAGGAAACAACAAATAAGTCAGTTTGCCTGGAGCTTGGTTTTCTGGAGGGTGTTTAATCATTCTGGGGAGATAGATTGATTGGAGCCTAACTGTGAAAGACTTTAAATGCCAAGCAAAGAAGCAATTGAAGTTTCTTAAACAGGGCAATGAGTGGTCAGACCTGTGATATCACTTTGGCAGCAGTGTGGAAGATGGAGTGAGAGAAGAGAGACTGGAGGCAGGGAAAGCTACTACACATGTTCAGGCAAGAGGTACTGAGTCCTTAAATTAGGGTGGTGGGCCATATGAATGAAGAGAACTGGTAAGAGATGTTATGGAGGTAGAATTGATAAGATCTGTCAGATCATTGGATATAAGAGTTGAGGGAAACGGAAGTGTCAGTAATGATGCCTAGGTTGTGAATATGGATGTGGGAAAATAATGGTGCCTTCAACAGAAATAAAGTTAGAGGGAAAGATAAATTCTGCCATGGACTTCTTGGGCTTGAGATGACTATGGGACATGTGGGTAGAATGTCCGGCAGGAAGTTGGAGGTATAAACTGAAATTCAGGAGATATGAGAGCTAGATGTGTAGATTTGGAAATCATCTGCATAGATGCAACAATTAAATCCATGGGAGCTAATGAGATCATCAAAGATAGTGTAGGGACAGGTGAAGGGGCCAGGACAGAGTCCTGGAGTACCCCCACTCATAAGGGGCAGGACATGGATATTAAGCCAGCAAAAAAAAACTGGTTCGATCTGGCAGTGTGGAAGGTGAAGGAGAATGGAATTAAAGTTACATTGGAGGTTGCAAGTCTGTGAGCCAATAAAAAGGTGGATTCATTAACAGTCATGGAGAAACTGGGAAAGGGTGAAATTTTAAATTTTCAGAGGGCAGAGAAGGAGATTTGGAGGAATGGAGAGTAAATGTATCAGGAGAAAAACAAGAGAGGCAAAATGGGAATGAATAGGGCTAGCCAGAGAACTAGGAAAACCAGCAGAATAGTGTCATAGAGGTCAAGTGAAAAGAATCAGGGGAAACCTGTTCAATAATATCAAATACAACAGAGACCTGAAAGAAGATGAAAACTTAAAATCATTGCATTTGGTCAAGAGGAAGTAACTGGTGAACTTAAAATAATAGGTAGCTTCTCCCTATCCCGAGACATGGACACTCCTAGAACTCCTGGTTTTTTAGTCTCAGTGTTACCCAGGATAGAAACCAGTCAATGAACAGGTGGGGAGCTGCAAGGGCTCCGTCATTAAGGGAAATACTATCACTTTGGATAGGACTGAAAGCAGAAGAGAATGAGTCAGGACAGGACAAGGAAAATGACTTGCCTCTGGCCACACCCAGGGGTGTGCTACAGTCAGGCCATGGAGAGAACCAATTGTTAAATTTTCATTGGGGGCAGCGAGGTGGCACAGTAGATGGAGCACCAGCCTGGGAGTCAGGAGGACCTGAGTTCAAATCTGACCTCAGACCAAACACTTGACACTTACTAGCTGTGTAACACTGGGCAAGCCACTTAACCCCAATTGGCTTAAAAAAAATTTCATTGTGAGTATTTATACCTCAGAAGTTAGGGTTTGATTTATTGTTTTGTGGGTGGTCTAGACTTAAGAAAAAGATGAATAAAATGTTAATAATGCATGTCAAACCTTAAAGTGTCACAGGTACATTTTTTTTTCTTTTTGGATAGCCAGTTATTCAGCATTTACACCACATCCCTGCCTCACACCCCAAGGCAGTAACTGTAGTATGAAGAATCAGATATTCATCTCTCTCCTTCCAGCTTCTGCCTGAAATGTGGCTGCTTCTATAGCAACTTCTGGTTTCACCCTGACTCAGGGCCTGGATCCATTCATTGCTGTAGTAGAAAAAGAACTTTATTTTGGAGACCTGAGTTTGAATCCTGGCTCTGACACTAGCTATGTCACTTAACCTCTGCCAAGAGCCAAGAACCATACTTTACCCTCAGCCTCCTGAAGGCAGAAATGAATACCACATTGATTAAAGTTCTGAAGTCTTTTTCCTTTACTCTACTGTGGTAATCATGTAAATTGTTTTCCTAGTTCTTCTCACCTCTTTCTGCATCAGTTCATGCAAGTCTTCACAAGTTTCTCTGAATTCTTCATATTTGTCATTTCTTGTTGTTAATAATACTCCATTGCATTCATATAGAGTTTGTTCAGCCCAGTCAATGAGCACCCACTTTCTTTGCAGTTTTTTTGTTACTACAAAAAAGGGTTGCTGTAACTGTTGTTGTATCTACAGGGCGTACTCTTGGAATGTTAAGAGATGTCATCTCAATATATTAGCTTTTTACCCTTTGGAAGAATATGAAGAGAATAGGTTACAGTGGGAACCTGGGGCCTCAAGGTCACATGTGGCCCTCTAGGTCCTCAAGTATAGCCCCTTGACTGAATCCAAACTTCAGGATTTGTTCTATGAGATTTGGACTCAGTCAAAGGGCTGCACTTGAGGACCTGGAGGGCCACGTGTGGCCTCAAGGTTGCAGGTTCCCCACCCCTGGGTTACACAATGCCTCAAGCAAGGTACATACCAGGGAAAGCTGAATTTAGTTTACCAATCATTTAATAAGTGCCTACTATATGCAAGGCAATAAGCTAGGTGTTAGGGATACAAAGACAAAAAAAGGGGAGAGGAACAAGGAATTCATATTTTGGATTCTTTCATCATTCAACAAGCAGTATTTATTAAACATCTCCTGTGTGCTGGACACTCTGCCCTGCGTTGAAGACAATATCACAATAGTCCTTACCCTCAATGAGCTAAAGAAGAGCTGTAGCAATGGATCCTCATCTTGCAGCCACTTGGGTGGCGCAGTGGGTGGAACACTGGACCTGTAAGTCCAGTCCAGCCTCAAAGTCAAATCCAGCCTCAAATTCTTACTAGCTGAGTTACCTTGGATGAGTCACTTAATCCCAGAGTACTTCAGTTTCCTCAGTTGTAAAATGGGGACAATAATGGCTGTGAGGATTAAATGAGATATTTGTAAAGAGCTTTGAAAAACTTAAAGTACTATATAAATGCTAGCTATTATTATTAACAACTGCCACTTCATCTTCCAGTTTGTCTATTCTCATAGCATCCCCTCAGCTCCTGAGTCTCCCTACCTTGTCACTGAGCCCTTATTTCCATTTCCAGTACTAATACTCCCATTATTTTACTATTGCTCTTCTCAGTAAGCGACACTGTCTTCAAGGCTGTGGAGAGGAAGGAGAGAGTATTAGCAAATCATTCTCCCACGTACCTTTCCTCTATCACATGGTTCTTCCATATATTACCCTGTGTTCTCTACTGATAAAGATACAGCAGGTCATTTTACTATTAGAATACTTAAGATTCAACCCTCTGGTTCCCCAAAAGCTTCACGCAGTCTCCAAATGCCCAATCCTCTTGGAATTATACACAAAGAATCAAAGGTTTCCAAGTTGGAAGGGAGGAAACTGAACCCTACAAAGATGAAATAGCTTGCATAAGGTCACATACAGAGTAAGCAGCAGAGCTGATTTAAACCCATGTCCTGAAACCTCAACCCTACCAGGTCTTTTCCACCAGTAAAATTTTTTTTAAAAAAATTGTTAATTGGTGCACAAAATCCTCCCAAGGAAAATATCCTGAAAGAAGTTCAGTGCTTGTCATTTCCTGAGCCCCAGGGAAGAATGAATTTCTGGCCACCCATTCTAAATAGAGGCAGGGCCACAGCAAGAACCCCAGTCACTAGGGTAGCTCTCTGGGAAAGGATGCTGAAACCATATCCTCCCAGTATTCTCACACACCCCTTTTCCCCACTATAAAACCATATGGTACATTGAGTGCTTGTGTAGGTGTTGGGAACCCTATCACCTATTTGGGGGGGAGTACAAATTCAATCCATATCGAAGCTTAGTCATAATGATCCCTTGAGGTGACCCCTGGTCCATATAAACCCAGAGTTCTTCAGGAGTGGTGGGCAAGGAGGAAAGGAAAGACTCACGGAGCAAGAGTCACATCAATCTGCCTATCTCTTCACCCACATGTACAGGAACAGACTGCCCCCTTCTGAACTATATTGCTACAAGTAGATTGCGTGAAACTTAGGATACATTTTTTTCCATAGAAACTATGTTACATAGAGAGATTAGTTTCCCAGGCTAATTCAGAAAACCCTTTTTAACCCACAATGCACTTGATATAATGAGATATGAATAGTACTACAGAATCTAACCAGCATGGATACCAATGTTCCTTTTTTTCTCCATATATATTTTCTTCCTTAATTTTTAGTTAATTTTTAAACATTCATTTAAAAATAAATTTGAGTTCCAAATTCTCTCCCTCCCTCCTGCCTCTTCAGAAGACAAGCAATATGATATCAATTATACACTTGAAGTCATACAAAATATATTCCTTATTAGCCACGTTGCAAAAGAAAACAGACAAAAAATAAAACAGGTAAAATAAAAAGAGGTTTTTTAAAAGTATGCTTCATCAGTTCATCAGTTCTCTCTCTGGAGGTAGATAAGATTTTTTTATCATGGTTCCTTTAGAATTGTCTTGTATCATTGTCTTGATCAGAGTAGCTAAGTATTTCACAGATTACCATATTGCTGGGTAACAATATTGGGATGAGGAAGAAGGGGTATTGAGGCTTTGGGATGGAGGCATGAAGAGCTGTAAAGAATCAGACACTTTTGGTGTTTAAAATTCTGAGGATCCCTTCTAGGTCCTAGGCTGGCTCCCAGACTACTCCTTGTCCATCTGTAGAAGACTTGTAAAAGAAACAGAACAATTTGTCCTGTTTGTTTCCTTTTTTCAATAGTTACTACCACCTGTTGATTCTGACCTGGATTTCCTCCCCTAAATCACCAAAGGAGAGAGGAGAGGCAGCATAGTCCAGTGGTTAAAGACCTGACTGTGAAGTCTGAAGACAAAAGAGTCCAAAACCTGAGCTCTGATGCATATCACCTGTGTGATCTTGGGCAAGGTTTTTAAACTGCTGGACCTCAGTTTCCTCCTCTGTAAAATGGATAGAGTGGACTCAATATCCTGAGATGCTTGTAGCTTTAGAGCCATGATAGTCTCACAGTTTCTCCTTGTCCCTCAAGCAAAGACAGAGACCTTTGAAAGGATCCTGACAGTTTTTGCTTTCAGTGGCAACATAAAAGAAGGAGGTAGGATGGGGGAAGAGGGGAAGAATTATTTCTTTCTGTTTCTCCTCTGTGCTCTCTCTGTCTCTTTTTCTCTGTCTCTCTGTCTCTGTCTCTCTCTCTTTCTGTCTCTCTGTCTGTCTGTCTCTCTCTCTCTCTCTCTCCCATAAGGAAAGAAAGAAGTTATATATGTTAATGGTGAGGTTGGAAATAAACAAAGGATTTGTGTTTATTTCAAAGGCATTCCCATACTCATTGAGGCCTGATCTTGGCCTTTAGGGTATTTCTGGAAGCTGGAGTGGAAGCTGGGCCTTTAGTATATAGCATGAGTAGATGAGAGAGGGGCTATCAACACTACCAGCAATGGAGAGGGGGAAGGGGGGAGTTGAGATGGAGAGAATAATAACTCACATTTCCATAGCATTTTAGGTTTTACCTCATGTTGATTTCACAGCAACTCTGTGAGGTTAGAAATAACAGCTATTACCATCTGCTTTTTACAGATAAAGCTACATAGGTCCAGAGAGGTTAAGTGATTTGTCCATGGTCATATAGCTAGTCACCATTAAAGACAGGATTGGAATCTAGTTCCTCAGATTCCAACTCCAGTGTCTTTCTCACTCCTCCCCCTTCCCTTTCATCTTCCCTGCCATTGTTGTGATTGTCGACCTTGTCCTTGATTGTCATCTAAGCCAGGTGACAAGACAAACAAGGGATGGGGCATGGGAAGGGTCCTGAGTGGCGGCAGGCTTGGCAAGAGCGAGGGAGAAGAGGAAGGAAGTCCCAAATAGTAGCAGCAAGGAGAGAATTCAGAGTGAGCTCCTGTGGCTATGGGGCCACATTCTCAGTTAGCTGCTGGTATGTGAGGAATGTGAATAAACTGGGCATCTACAAGTTGGGGACTGCCTGTGCTGCCTTGTCAAGGCTTAGCTCCCCTACCACATAAGTCAGCTTCCCTGACTTATGCCTCTTTGTAGCCCCTAGATTAAACATGAGGAAGAACATCCCCATGAACAGGGGTATGAGATAGGAAAGAAATAATCATTTATTAAGCATTTTACCAATAAGATCCTCACAACAATCCTGGGAGGTAAGTGCTACTATTATCATCCCCATTTTACCCATGTGGAAACTGAGGCAATCAAGGTTAAGTGACTTGCCCAGGGTCATACAGCTAGCAAGGTTGGATTTGAACCCAGGTCTCCCTGATTCTAGGCCCAGCTCTTTATCTACTGAGTCACCTAGTTGGCAGACTGGAGTAAGACTGAGGCAGCCAGGAATTGTGGATAGAATAGTGGCTTTGGAGTCAGAGAACCTGGGTTTAAATACTAGCTCTTCTAGTAACGACTTGTATAATAAGGCAAGTCACTTAATTTCTCTGAGTTCTCAGTTTTCTCCTCTGCAAAATGAGGGGTTTGGACACAGAGATCTGTAAGCTTTGAGACTCTAAATCTGTGATTGATGAGGCACCAGCTTCTGTAGTTCTCTCTCAAAATAGGAAAGACAATAGTATAGAGTTCCTGGGAAAGAGACCAACTGGTTTCCAGAAACGCCTTAGACCCTAACAAGAATTTGATGCCCTAATAAAAAGGTAGTTCCCCCACTCACTTTACCTCTTGAATCCCAAAGCTTGTTTCTTTGGCTAGTCTGGGGTGGGGGTGGGGCAGCTGCTGGAACTTATTTGAGGTATCTCTGCCTACAGCACTAGCATCAG